ACACGCAGCCTCTCTGCAGCCAGCTCGCGAGCCCTCGTCGGTACCTTCCTCCCTGCCCCCGCGTGGCCGGGGGCGGGCGGAGGTGGAGGTCCAGAGCCTGATTCCCACCAGGGCTTTCGGACCCGCAGCTCGGTGACCTCCCGCATGGCGCGGAGGACCGAGCCCCCAGACGGGGGCTGGGGGTGGATGGTGGTGCTCTCGGCCTTCTTCCAATCTGCGCTGGTGTTCGGGGTGCTCCGCTCCTTCAGCGTCTTCTTCGTGGAGTTCGTGGCGGCGTTTGACGAGCCGGCCGCGCGCGTCTCCTGGATCGCCTCCATAGGCATCGCCGTGCAGCAGTTTGGGAGTGAGTGCTGCGCCTGGGGCCGGTGTCCCCAGACCCTCGGGAGGGAGAGGGAATGCGGGGACAGGGAGGGAGGAGCGGGGAGATGGGGGAGATGCCGGAGAAGGATGCCTGGAGTCTTCTCACAGAACGCCCTCCTCCTCCCCAGGCCCCGTGGGCAGTGCCCTGAGCACGAAGTTCGGGCCAAGGCCAGTGGTGATGGCTGGGGGCATCTTGGCAGCGCTGGGGATGCTGCTGGCCTCCTTCGCTACCTCCTTGACCCACCTGTACCTGAGTATTGGGCTGCTCTCAGGTGAGACCCTGGGTAGGGCAGGAAAGTCAAATGCCTGAGTCTTTGGACTCTCACCTTCCTCCTAGTCTTTCCAAAAGACTTCAGGAGACGCTGAGAGAAAGTTTTGAATAACACCTGTGCCCCGAAGGGAATTAAGAGGGATGACTCATTTAATAAACTTGGTGGGGCGGTTTAGACTTTCAGAGATAATGAGTCCACAGTATGCAAGCCCGGAGCTAGTGGGGCTGGAGTGCAAAAGGAAGAATTGCATAGTATATAGTTGTGGCAGGCACTGTGACTGTAAAACAGATATCTATCCTGCTTACAGTTTTTTATATATTTAGGTGCTCCTATATTGGGTGCATATATGTTTACCAGGGTTATAGCCTCTTGTTGGATCGATCCCTTTAGTGTTATGTAGTGACCTTTGTTGTCTCTCGTGATGGCCTTCTCTACCCTATTTACAGATGAAGCAAGGCTTCAGAAGCTTATGAAACTTGGCAAATGAAGATCACACAGCCAGAAATAGTCGGGCCTAGGTGCAACTCCAAAATTCTGTGCGAGTTACTTTAAAAACGTTATCTCTAGGTCTCTACAGTCCCATAAAGTGTATTACCCCCATTTGGCAGATGAGGGGATTGAGGCTGGGAGATTCAATAAAGTCAAACAGCTAGATAGTATCAAAGCCAGGATTGTAACCAGACCTGTGCTACCTTCTGCTGCTGGGCAATACTGGGATTACTGGGCGCCCTGAACTCCCAAAGAGTCCCAAAACCACCATTTTTAAAATATATATTTTTTTATTGATTTCAGAGAGGAAGGGAGAGGGAGAGATAGAAACATCAATGAGTGAGAATTATTGATGGGCTGCCTCCTGCAGGCCCCCTACTGGGGATTGAGCCCACAACCCCCCCGGGCATGCCTTGGCTAGAATCGAACCTGGGACCCTTTAGTCTGCAGGCCGACGCTCTATCCACTGAGCCAAACCAGCTAGGGCCATCATTTCTTTATCTTTTCTTTTTTCTTTCTCTTTATTATTATTATATATTTTTTTTACAGGTTCTGGGTGGGCCTTGACCTTCACACCAACACTTGCCTGCCTGTCTCGTTACTTCTCTCGCCTGCGATCCCTGGCCATGGGGTTGGCACTGACTGGCGTGGGCCTCTCGTCCTTTGCTTTTGCCCCACTCTTCCAATGGCTGCTCAGCTACTATGCCTGGCGGGGCACCCTACTGTTGGTGTCTGCCATCTCCCTCCATCTGGTGGCCTGTGGTGCTCTCCTCCGCCCACTCTCCCTGACTGAGGACCCTGCTGTGGCTGACCCTGGGGCCCAACTCGCCTCCCTCCTCCATCATGGCCCCTTCCTCCGTTACACTGTTGCCCTCACCCTGGTCAACACCGGCTACTTCATTCCCTATGTGCATCTGGTGGCCCATCTCCAGGACCTGGATTGGGATCCACTGCCCGCTGCCTTCCTCCTCTCGGTGATTGCTATTTCTGACCTCGTGGGGCGTGTGGTTTCTGGGTGGCTAGGGGATATAGTCCCAGGGCCTGTGGCACGACTCCTGATGCTCTGGACCACCCTGACCGGGGTGTCACTGGCCCTGTTCCCCATGGCCCAGGCTCCCACAGCCCTGGTGGCTCTGGCCGTGGCCTATGGCTTTACATCAGGGGCCCTGACCCCATTGGCCTTCTCCATGCTGCCTGAACTGGTGGGGACTGGAAGGATATACTGTGGCCTGGGACTGGTGCAGATGGTGGAGAGCATCGGGGGACTGCTGGGGGCTCCTCTGTCAGGTAAGGGGAATGGGGTTTCCAGACGGCCATGTCATACCATTCAGGGAGGGTACTATTCACATTATAGTGGATGTAAATATTGCCCTTTACATGGTATGGTATCCTACATGGCCTGTATCACCAATCATAGCAGCCCTGAAGTGGGTCCATGAGACAAAGAAATTGGGGCTGTGGAAAAACTCAAATGAGCTTTGCGGAGCCCTTGGTAGGATACCTGTCGCTTGGATTTTCAGACTTGTCTGGACCTGCTCTTACCCTTGGCCCATTTGGCCCCAGCTCAGATGTCTGAGCCATGTGGTCAAAGTTCTCCAGCCTTCAGATGCCAGAACCTTCAGACCCTAGCTACTGACTATTAGATGACAGGGCCACAGTTGCCGGAAAGAAAGACACAGGTGTGCCTGCCTCGATCTGGATCCCCAAATCCCCACTGGCTGATATGGAGGGCCTTCCTGAAGGCAGGGAGGTGATGGACATGACTCTGAAGCCCCCTGGGAAACCAGAGTTGTCAAGCGCATCTGGTCCTACCTTGGCAGTTCTAACTCTTCCAAGATGGCAGATTAAAGATCATTTTCCTCCTTCCGCCCAAAAATATGTCTGAGCCGTCGGTCCCAGGAAACAGATCACCCATGTGTGTTCTTTTTCTCTCTTGGATGTAGGCTACCTCCGGGATGTGACAGGCAACTACACAGCTTCTTTTGTGGTGGCCGGGGCCTTCCTTCTTGCAGGGAGTGGAGTTCTCATCACTCTGCCCCACTTCTTCTGCGTCTCAGCTCCTACCTCCAAGCCCCAGGACCTTGGCACAGAGGCACCGGATACCAAAGTCCCCCTGCGAAGGAAGGGCTGGGAGAGAACTGAACTCCAAAAAGACCCGGAAAGCCAGAGATTGGCAGCTCCGGGTCTTCTGCCCCATATTGGTGCCCAGAGAACCACAGTGCCTTCAGCATCTTGATCTGTCTTCCACCACAGCTTGCCCAGGGCTCCTGCGATGTGTGTGCCAACTCCTAGTGTTTTGTTGAGGACTCTTATCTCTTCTTGGCTTCCACAACCATTTCTGCAGGATCCAAGAGTTCAGCCTGCTCCAGTGAGCCGTGAATCAACTGTGAAAATCAAAGGCCAAGAGACTTATTATGTTTTACAAGTGATCAATCTCTAGTGTTGCCTACTACACTTCTTCTCTGAAGACAGATGTTTGGGGATGAGCGATGCCCCTTTGAGATAAAACTGGATAATAATCAGAAACTCAGAAAGAACTGGAGCCCAAATGCTTGGGTTGGTTGAGTGGGGTCACGGCTGGTGGGGTGGGGGGTAGAGGGGAGGTGTCCAGGAGCTCTGGGGACTCCGAGCATTTTAACCCTGGACTCTGCTCTCTGGACCACAGTTCCTCCCACTAGCCCCTGTGACTTAGATGAGAAATGAAGGAAATGGTGGGGACATGGTGGCGGGGTCGGGGGGCGGGGGAGGTTGGTAGGGAGCACTGAAGCTCAGAGAGCCTACCTCTGGGTCAAGGATTCTTGAATTCACCGCAGGCCAATAGAAGGAGATTGAGATATGGGAAGAGTTTTGAGTCAAGGAAATGAGGATGGCACCCATGAGCCTCCCTCTCCCTCAAACAAATTGAAGCTGGCAGGCAGACAACTTCTCAAAGATGCCCCGTTATAATGGCAACAACATGGGCAAAGAGAAATGGACTGACTAGACAGACAGATACCCGCCTCTTTCCCAGGTTTAGTGGGATCCTGTTCCTTCCGAGCGGCCTTTTGAATGTCTTAAGTAGAAAGTTTTCAGCGTCCTAGATGGGCTAACAATTGGAGCTTGCAGACACATTGGAAATTTTTTATTGAAGGAGGGGCTCAAACCAAAAGAAAATGGTCAACAGGAGGTGTCGGCAGTGGCATGCGGGCCTCCTGGGGACAGCAGGGCCCCCGGAGGAGCTGGGAGCAGCTCCCCCCTCTCAGGGGGAGGGGTGGCTGGAGGTGAGGCCCGACTGCAGGAGGGCAGCGCCCCAGGCAGCCCCAGGTAGATGGAGCTGCCTGAGAGGACGAAGGAGCCACACACGAGGAAGGAGGCCGTGAAGTCTCCGGTCTCATCCCTGAGGAAGCCTGAGAGGAAGGGGAAGGAATTGAGAGGCCTCG